AGTGATGGCTAGGGGAAAGTTTGCACACTGAGCCTTCAATACTTGGCAGTATAGTGATAAGAGATGTAATGAGAATGGCCCCTTATCCTTTCTTATCAATTGATAAGATTGCCTGTCACCCGTCATCAGTTCCCTATCACTAAAGCTCTATAATTTGGTAGTGTAAAGGCTCCAGCAATTTGACTGAACAACAATTGGCAACGTTCCTTATCAGCCCCTATCAGCTGTTATCACCTGTCACCTGCCGTGATGTCCCCATCTCCCACTCTATATCATTTTCTGAAATCAACGCCTAGCTGATGCTGTGTCCCGCGTCATTAGTATGGTGACCCTCCCCTCCTGACGCCTCTTATCGGATCTTATCAGCTGATATCATTCCCTGTCACCCATCAATAATGTTCCTGTCCCACGCCCTATATCATACCTTGGAACCAATGTCCCACTGTTGCTGTGACCCGCGCTATGGACTCGGTGCCCCTCCCGTTCTGACGCCTTTTTCAGATCTTATCAGCTGATATCACTCCCTGCCACCCATCAATAATGTTCCTGTCCCACACCCTATATCATACCTTGGAACCAATGTCCCACTGTTACTGTGTCCCGCACTATGGGCTCGGTCACCCTCCCCTTCTAAGGCCCCTTATCGAATCTTATCAGGTGTTATCACCTTCTGTCACCCACCAAAAGTGTTCCCGTCCTGCCGTGTATATCACTTCTTGGAACTGTCATCCTATCTTTTCTGCGACGCTCGCTATGAATTTCGTGACAGACAGACAGACAGACGCACACACACACACACACACACTTACAGACATACTTAGCGGATTATATATAGTAGGATGTTTCATGATAGTTTCGTTCGGCTGAGAACTGATTTACGAATAGTTAAGTTACTTAGGTAATTGCTTTTAGAGGGCACATCAGTATTTATCTCCACTTCTAGCCTTTTTAGTGAAATGCTCGAAAAAGCTTATAGCATGGCGTTTAAAATTCATTCAACGATGCTCACAGGATTATAGCATGGGGGCACTAATAGGAAAAGTGGGAAGCGTTTACGGAATAGACTATAGGTGAACAGATCGTCCACCTTCGTTATGGGCCTTGTGTAGATCAACTCTGAAGCTCTTTGTAGCGGGGGTTGGATCATAATAAATAGTTTGGTATTTTTGTCAAGAAGGTTGAAGGCCAGTCGGCGCGACTTTGAACCTCTGCTCAATGCGTATCCAGGTGTTGGGTCGCTAAATAGTGGCGACTAGCGAAAGCGGGCGAAGTGAAAGGTTGGTCAAAAAACTGCAAAACCCCGTTGGTTCCTAAACGACTCAAAAGCGTTTCGGGGCGATGTTCCCCGTGGCATTCGTACAATAATGTACCAAGGTCGGTTGCATGTATTTGTGTAATTCATATCTCCTACAGCACCGCAGCGCTTCCTCCCCCTTCGTCATATTGGTATTTATTTTTGTTATTTTTTTATTTTGTATTTTTATTTTTTGCTTTATTTTATTTCATTGATTATTTTCATTTTTTTTTTTACTGTTTTTGTTGTATTTTTATTTTTCATTTATTTTATTTTTTTACCCGAAACGGGCTTTAGGTAGCTCGGATTGTGGGCGGGGGGCGCGATAATGAGAGTCATTCGGCTATGTTGGTGACGGTTTGAGATAGGCGCTATAGGTACCTCAGGGAGGCGCGCGCGGATTGTCAAGGGGCGACCATACGTCTTGCTAGGCGTATTAGTTCCCACGCTATGTTTATGGTATGTTTATCGTGCAACTGGCCTTTAAGCTTTTTTGCTCAAGCGCCGCTAACACGGAGGTCTGTTGAGGCAAGCTAGGTGAGCCTTGGATTCTAAGCTATCAAGGTCGCTACAAGGCTTGCTGACCTGGGCAATTGCTTGTTTCTGAGATTTCGTTTTCCTTTGATGACCTGTTTTGGGAGTTTTAATAGAAGACGGGTTTTCTTAGCATGCAGGGGTCGTGTTTATTTTGGATTTTAGCGGCTGTGAGATATGATCGAGAGCCTCGGAAGGGGCGTTTCCTGAGGAGAAGCGAGTCCAGTGGGCATTGGGTGAAGATCAACAGAGATAGGTTCGTTCGTTCCTATTTTCTTTTTTACCTTTCCCCATCAGTAGAAGATCTTCTGTTCCTACAATTTCAGCGCTTCTTTCGGAACGAGGAGAAGCCACAAGTGAGCCTGTTTCCATAAGCAGGCCAGCACGGCAGGAAGTTCCCCTCCAGGTAAACAGAGTCGTACTTTTCCAGTGTTTTTCACATGCTCTCATGCTGAAACGAGCTTTCAGCACTCACGATCCGTCCCTTCTCTCTACGACGGCACGCTGGTCTCCCACCGAAGTTGCCGTCATGGCAAACACAGGTGGGTTATCTTCTTGCTTAGTTGGTCATACTTTGCCTTGCCCTTAAGCAGTCCCGAAAAGAGAGGAGATTTGATTTTCAATCTGGCTTTTTTGAAACGTAGTCAGCAAAACCGAAGCAAAATTACTTCATTTTGCAAATAACTCCTTATCTAGGAGTTCTTCCAAGCGTCGCTCGAGAAGCCGTCATGTAAACAACTCGTCCGATTCTGAGTCGCCAATCGGTACAGCTGTCAATTTTCACTCTCAAAAAGAATCAGCTCAGCCAATCCTTTTCAGAGTCAACACATGAGCGTAGACGCCGACGGAGTCGAACTCGATGTTCCGAGTCCGAGTTCACCGAGACCACTGATCGATGGGATAGAGCTGAGAAGGGCAGACGAAGCAAAAGGTAGTGTTCTGCTTGTCATGCCTGTTAACTTACAACTCTCAAAATTGACCCCCCCCTTATATTGTTGTTGTTGATGTAATTTTATGAATGAGACACGAGGTCGTAAGAGGAACTATTTATTTTCGCTAGACGTTCCAATATTACTGTCCAGATGATTAAAGGGAGTTAGTACGATAATTTGGTACTGGGCCTAACAGGTGTATAGTGGACAATGGCGAAACAAACGAAGTGAAATGGTCAAAAACCTGCGAAGAAAAGCCTTCGTTCTCAATGACTCGCAAAGCGAATTTCGGACGAGTTTCCCGTTGGCATCGTGCCAATCACCGCTACGGTAGATACGGCTGCATGTATGTACTCATATATCCATGCAGCACCGTAACCGCTTCATATCAATCCCTTCGATCCATACTTTGCTTCGCAAACGAAGCTATACGACGGGACGGTCGTTCGTTTGTGGGCGGGCGGGCCAGGTGGGCGTACGGGTCGGTACGTTGTAGCTTGATAGGGCCTAATGAGAGTGTCTTCCTTGGAAACACAGGGCCTGCTCAGGGTCGCGGAATCCCGTCCTGCCAGGCGTATTAACCTTACTCGCCTTAGGGATTTATCGTGATAACTGACTCCAAACATAGCCCAAAGGTCGAAAAGTGCTTCCTACCTCACCGCGCTCTGCCCCTTCAGAGTGCCCTCGGTCGAGTTAGAGAACCTGCAGAACTTTCTGAAGGTTTACACTCGTATCGTGCGACGTGTCCAGGGGGGATAGGTATAACTCCATGGCTATTTGTCTATTTTCGTTCATATCTGAAACAGGCCGCTTTTGGTAGGGAAGCGCAGCCTAGGGCGCGCTCATTTTACGCCTCCTAGCACCGCCCTGCTGAATAGCGACGATGTCAACTATTCAGTATGTTTTGTGGTGTTTTTTTGAGGTATTTAAGTGAACAATTGTATATAGCGTCTGACGTCTCGACGTAATCGTCTTTTTTTGAAAGTCCTTAATTGTCTCAATAATAGAGATGTGCACTACACCTGGCCAAGGCCCTAGTCTAAGCCCCAATTTCCGATGTCATCTGGTCTTACCCAACCGAGAATCTCCACGCAATCCAGGAGAACGCTCACTTCTGACGGCCAACCAAGCGGTTATACCAATATGTCAATCCCGTGTAGCGAATGGGATATCAACTATATATTTTAGCAAGAAATTCTGACATTCATTCCTGCACCTTCCTAGGAAAGACTTCAGATCGAATCTAGGAAATTCAAGGGTTGTCTCAGTCAAACAGCTGGCAAAGTGTGAAGAAAACTACCAGAAAATAATAGTGCTCCTTGCAGATCTCACAGTGATCACCACCATCGTGACAGAGACGATCGACGGCGGCGGAAAGAGCGAAATGGAGACGATCACCGTAGACGTCGCCATGAACGGGACGACTACGAGAAGAACGGAAGAGACACCGTTGCTGAACGAACTAGCGAGAGGCGACCTCGAGAACGGCGGCACGAGTACAGAAATGGCGAGACTTCTAGAGCAGAAAGGCCTGAGAAGGAGTAAGTTCCACGAGCTCATTGTAATAGCTTAATAGAAAACTATCAGTTCCAGAACCTCTTTTGATACTGTGCCTACCGACACTACCTATCCACTCGCTGGTGGTATCTCCATCCCGCAACACATCGTGATTCCACCATCGATGGGCGAACGTGGTCCAGATGGCAATCCTCTTCCGCAGAAGTTTCAAATTAACTTCCGAAATCACCATCAACTACGATGGACTGAACCAAGCACCTCAGTCCGATATTAATGAACCATATCGAAGGAGATATCCGGTAAGCGTCATATCAAAGGCTTCTGCCCCACGACACGACTGAAGTCGATTTCAGGCTGTGGGTGTGCAGTCAAATGTCTGAAGACTTCTACTCCTCGTAATCGATCTCTCATGCTCAGTGTGTACTATGTGCTTTTATTTCAACTTTCATTATTTCTTTCATCAAATCATCTGTGATATCCTTTCAAATCAAGCTACTTATCAGTCGTTCATCTTGTTCCTAGTTGTACATAAATTCATGGAGACGCCGCCTCACTAGTCTTCCCACCTATCTTCGGAACCGCTGATCCATTTCACACCATCCGGTTTCTTCCTTTACGCACGCAATGTCTGCCTCATCCATGCTAACTATCTGCGTCTCTTGTAATTATCAGTTATAAATTTGAATAAAGAAAAATACGTTCTGCTCGAGTCATTGTGTAGCAATTTGATGGTATTACTTCAATCAACACTGCACTGCGCTGCCCGGAGTCATGTCTAAAAGCAAATTTCACGCTGACCGGATAGGCGTGGTCATTCAAACCACTGCGCTTTTTCCATTGGTGTGCCCATCCTTTCAAAAGGGCAAAGGAAAGAAACTTACCAATGAGAAAGGCGCAGCGATTTGAGTGCATATCCTCTACTGCCCATACGGTAATAGAGGAATATGCCTTTGTAGGTAATCTCATCAGACCTATAAGAGTCACAAAAACTCCAGAGATATAGGATGGCTGCCATCATCGCTGCAGTACCTTTTTTTATATTTTAGAAAAGATCTGTAAGGAAGAGGTGCGCAGTTGCGGTAGAGTGCACCGTTCGCTGCCGACGAAGGGGCGTGTCAGGCAGGATGAGTGTGGTGCGGTGCCAAACCCGTCTCGACTATTGTTGAAGCGAGCAAGTTACATCCTTCCTTCGATGTCTTAACCAAACTCATGCATGTCCTTATTTACCGTCTCTCCGTCATTGCATCGTGTAACCTTATCCTGTGCGCGGGAATGTTTCTTCATCATGGGCCCTAGTTGTTATATGTATTACTTAGTACATAACTTTATCGTTAGCTCCAACTCATTGAAGAGCCTCAGGAGCTAACGTTACATTAAAGTGGTTCGTCTGAGAAGAGGCGAAAACGGAAAACCACCCGCATTCTTCTCGCATTTTATATTTATGTTTCCCACGTCATGTACTGTTTAGTCGATTACCTTGTTATTAACAAGCAGTTCTTTCCCTTTTTCTATTAGCACCGTGCACAGTCATACTGCCTGAGCCCCTCATTCAGCAAGTCGAGATTAAGAGTATATTCATTGCTGGTCGCTGTGAAAAGCCTTAGAAATAATGTGACCATTTGTAGAAGGGCAAGAAATAAAGTGAATGCAGAGACGCTTATCCTGAGCTACTGCATGCACACGTCTTCCTAAGAAAATAGTCTTGTTAGCTGCGGAAGACGGGGCGTGTCAAGGGAACTGGTTTGCCAGCCCAGTTTTCTTTTCAGTTTCGTCAAGCGACATGATTGTATCATATCGTTCGTATCAGACGTTTTCCACCAGTTATTGCAATTTGCCGGCTTCGCTGACACGCCCCATCACCAGCAGCGAACGATTGTAGTAGCATTTGAAACTGCGAACTTCCTAATGCCGATCCGCAGGACTTTTCCCCAAACAGTCAAAACGTTTTATGCTTCCAGGCGAATGTGATGTCAATCGGTACGGGGCAGGAAATCTGAGTTGCGGCGATGGTGCATTCCATATACAGGGGGGGGGGCAAAAAAAAGTCACTTCGACCGAGTCACATATCAGCAAAGTTTTCGCAGCCCAGACAGAGGACGTGGATACGAGTACCAGGGCGGAAGATACCCAAGATGTTCCTCGATAAGCAGGAGCTGGCTCTCGCCCATCACTTCATGTACACCAAAATATGAAGTCATCTCCAGTCGCAGCCTGACTGGAGAAGACCTTTGGAATTCATGTCACCTCCAAACAGCTGCGAAACTTCTAGTATGGAGTCACCTGGAGACCAGTACTCTCGATCTGGAAGACCTCCAACATCGAGCAGCTCCGACAACGTCGCCACGGTCTAGGACATCATCTTCACCACAGTCGCCAAGGCGCGGGTTGATGGTATGGACCGGACGTACCTGGAATGGAAAGACCAATATTTTCTTCGTGGACCCCGGACTGAAGGTGAGCGCTGGACGTGAGTGTGTATAGCTTGTGGCGCATACTAGTAGTCGGCAACTTCGAGAGAATATCCTCTCCCAAAGTCGTCGCCTACTACTTCTTTGGAAACTTTGTATGCCTACTAGCATTGCCGGTGCCACCACATGGAATCGCGAAGGGTTGCAAAACTTGTTACTGGCGAATGGAACGGGCGTTATAGTACCTGGATCAGGAAGAGATGAGAATATTCAAGTAGATCACCTGACTCCTGAATCATCCTCAATTAACCTGGGTTTGGCGGAGTTGCAGTAGGGTGGTCACTAACCGGTGCGCGGAGCAAATCGACTATCATCGCTGACCTCAGAACCTCTCGATGGCGCTGCGTCCAGAAGGCTGTGGCGGAGTGTCATGATAGTATTTAATATGCTCTTTAATATGGTGGTGGAAATGTCCGATCAGAATTCAATAAAGTGTAACTTATAGCGCCTCGAAAGTCAAGGAAGAAAAGTGACTTTTTTTATTGCCCCCCCCTGTAGCCTTCAGTCGGGGCGGTGTCAAGAGGGGCGAAATGAGCTCGCCTCTGGCTGCCTTGCCTAACAATAGTGATCGGCCAGTGATCGATTCAGGAAGAAAACATTCAGTGAAGGAAATGCCGCACATCAGCTTTTTCTGTCCATCTTGAAACCGTCCTGACTGACCATGGCGGTGGCAGAGTTATTGCTGGGATATTGCCGTTTTCAGGCAACTGTAATGTAATAATATGAAGTACACCTTGTGGTGCAAATAAATAAATAATCATGTGTTTGCCTAGCACAACGATTTACCAAAGGCTGCAACACGGATTCAGGAAATGTGTCTAGAAATTCGCATGGTTCATGTTTTTTACAACTTCCTTTTCTATCCAGAGTCCTTTTTTCTCTTTTTCAGTAGATTTCCAAGTATTTACTAGAACAGATTTTTATTAGAGCAAGTTTTAATTGGAGCAGTTTTCATGAGAAGCGTTTAAACGTCTTGACTGCATAGAGTTTCCGAATCACATGGAGCAATTTCACAGGAGTAGGCAAAGCTCTGCCGACAGTCAGCTCCGATCCAAACGAGCTCACCGCTTTGTGGCGCAACTCGCACACAGTCGATTCCTGTCTGATGGATCCCTGACGATACCCATTGCTGTTCTTCAGATGAGAGCTGCAATTCTGTATTGAACAAATGCCAATGGAAGCAACTCAAAATGAATCAAAACTTGCAAAACTGAACTGTTCAGTAAACGTTTGTCAACTTTGCCTGCAACCTATCGCAAAGCAAGGGCTGATAATAAGTCCCAGCGGAGACTACGGTGTCGAACGGAGAAAGTGGCCTTATATTTTCTTTATTTATTCATTATATCTATATATTTGAGCCTTTGTTAAGGGCTATGACTTCAAGTTCATTGAAAAAATAGATATGACATAGGATAGAGCACTGCGCAGTACTTATCGAAGCGGATGGACAAGCAGTAAGCTCTGGGGAGTGAAACTGACGGATACTGTAGCATGATCATTCGTTGACGACGAGTTGTGGATTTTTTGTTGGGTTTAAAGTGAAGCATGCTGAACGTGGGCAAGGAAAAGCGTGGGAGCCGCGCCTGGAGATTGGCTGGAGTGACGCAGC